TTTATTTTATTTTATTTTATTTTATTTTATTTTATTTTATTTTATTTATTTTTTTGAGACAGGGTCTGTCGTTGAACCTGGAGCTCAACAATGTGTCTGAAGAATTTTGCCAGGAGAGCATTGAAATAACCTCAGTCCTCTTTCCTTTTATCCTCAGACTGGGACATTGACATTCATTTGTTCAATATGCTAAGTCCATCCATTGACCTTCAGTTCTGAGATTTTCTTTTAGCTCTTTGTTATGGTTCTGCTTTGTGCTGAATTTTTCTCTGATTACTTATTCGTTATTTATTTATTCATGAATCTTTCTTTTTTACCATGCCATGAATTTCCTTTTTTTTTTTTTTTCTTTTTTTTAGACAGGGCTTCTCTGTGTAACCATAGCTGTCTGTCTTCAGTCTCACAGAGATCTGCCTCTGCCTCCCAGAGTGCTGGGATTATAGGCATGCACCACCACACTGGCTTCCCTTTTTTTCTTTAGCATGCTTATAATGCATCATTAGACTGTTCTCTTCTGAATCTAATTTTGGTTCTTCTCAGAATCAGGTCTTACTAACTATTCTTTTTTTCTTCCATGGATCTTACTTTTCTGTTTGTGTATCTAGTAACTTTTCTATGAAGCATGGTTAATAATACATTATAAAAAATACATTCAACACTGCAGAGATGGCTCAGTAGTTAAGAGCACTGGCTGTTCTTTCAGAGGACACAGGCTCAATTCCAGGAACTCACAAAGCAGCTCATAACTGTCTGTAACTCCAGTTCCAGAGAATCCAACCCCCTCTTCTGACCTCCTTAGCCACCACATGCATGTAGTGCACAGACATACATGCAGGCAAAACATGCGTATGAAAGACCCCAGCCTCACACTAAGTTAAACATGGCTAACGCCATTTTGTGGGACACCACTGTTTTGTAAAACTCTGAAGGCCAGATGAGAAACTGGAAAATTACTGAAAAATCCTAGCTGTGTCACCCACTTGGGATATCTGTGGTCAGGCTGCCCCAGTCATACTAAAAACAGTTTGTGTTAATCACTCTCATAGATATCTGTGAGACTGTTTCAGCTAAGATAGGGAAAAACAAAATAACAGGTGGCGGGCCACGTCAAGGGGTCATCCTACCCCCCTTGACCACCCAGTTCCTGGAATCTTGGTGCCCCTGCCAAACTTTGACGCAAATTGTGGTCTCGTGTAAACGTACCAATCAGCCCCCTGTAACCATGCCCTCTCGCTTCTGTACCAGTGCTTCTGTTCTAAAACCCTATAAAAACCCCAGTTTTTCCCCAAGCAGGCGTGCAGGGTCCTCCTGAGTGACCTTGCTGCCCCGAGTACTCGTGAATCAAAATAAAAGCCTCTTGCTGTTTGCATCCGAATGGACTCGTTGTTCTTTGGGAGGGGGTCTCTCTGACGGAAGATACCCTCCGGGGATCTTTCACGTACACATAAAAACACTTTAAAAATAAATAAAAGCACTATTAGAGATAAATAAATAATGTAAAATCCCTGTATTCTGTGCCCTCTGCAAGGCATACTTTGTTAGAGACTGGGCTGTATGCTTCTCACTTCCGACCCTCATGTCACCATGTTGGGGACTCAGGAGGTAAGTGAGGTGCCTGTAGAACCAATCACTGTGACTTTATGCCAGGGGCTAAAGTCCGCATGAGAACAGGAGACTGACTCTACAAAGCACTCTCTTCCCCATGAGTTAGGAAGCGAGCCCTTACCTGAAAGTGGACTTTCTTGTGTTTGTGCATGAGCATGTATGAGTGCATGTGTACATATGTGTGTGTCCTTTCATGTGGAGGCCAAAGGTCAACATCAGTTGTCTTCTTCATTCACCCTCTCCCTTATTTTTTTGATACAAGAACTGGAATTGAAGCAGAAGCCCAACAACGTGACTAAACGGGTTGGCCAACAAGCTCTAGGACCCTTCTCTGTCCTCCCCAGCACTGGGATTACAGGTATGTCTCACAGTGTCGGGCACTATTTGTATGTGGCTCACATGGACTTAAATCCAGACTGGAATGTTTGCACGGTAAGCACTTCACTGACTTGCCATGTCCCCAGGCCTGGGCATGAACTTGCTGGCCTATGACTGTGGACTCAGACCAAGCTCCAGTCCTATGCAATGATGAACTGTAGCTGGAGTGCACTCTGGAGTATCTGTTAGAGTCAAGGCAGACCACACATAGCAGGAAGTCCCCTCATAGGCCAGGCTCCCCGGCCTTGGGTGAGTGTGGGCCAGAAGATCTGAAGGAAATCACAGTGTTAACCAAGTACTCTTAGCACGTCAGAACTCCACCTCGAATTGCCTCCCCTGAGCTTTCTCTGGCACTTGGCTCAGGGTTTGAGGAAGGCAAGGGGTGCAGAGTTTTCCACCCGGGAGCCTCTGTGGCATGTCAGATGCCGGGGGTCAGCACCGTCTCTCCACTGTAGCAGGGCTGGCTCTCCACTACCCCACCACACCCGTCCACCCCAGGTACCACTTCCTGTTTTCATCCTGGGCCTGCTGCTCACAGGAAGCTTCCAGTTGCCTTATTCTCCAAATAGAAACCAACCTGCCCCAAGGGGCTGGTGCTCAGATGACCCCACATCCCTGCCCTTTCTGCCTTCTAGCTGTATCAGCAATGAAAGAGTCAGGACAAGCAAACAGCAATGGCTTTTGACCATGGAGTGAGAGACACCATGATGGGCACTCGGTACTGAGCACCCCTGAGCCAAAGACACAGAATTGGAGCGGGAGGGGTGGGGGACTAGAGAACAGCATATCCAGGAAGGCCTTGGAAACAGTAGCTGGGGATTTGAACTCTACACGGTAGGAGCCTTGGGAAAATACAAGCAGCATTCATTCCCCTTTCATTTGAGAAACTTACTAAGACCACAAAAGGAGGCCTGCTCTTGTGTCTCTGCTTGTGGCCTGCTAAGGCTTCTTCCAGATGATTAGAGAACAGGAGACTGCTCCAGTGTGAGGATGGGGCTGTGGGCCCGAATCAGTGTTCCCATTAGAGAGTATTCACAGAGAAAGGCAGTGCATTTGCATTCACACGGTCACTCTGGACAGATACCAAGCAGTGACGCACAGGTGTGCCCCTACCCCCCACCGGTCATCACTCATGCTACCCCCAGGAAAGACGGTAGGCAACATGTGGCAGCAATGTTTATTTGGCACAGGCTCAAGGGACCCCTTGGGTAGGGGCCAGAGAGACCAGGTGGGCAGAGCTACTGCATCCTCCTCAGATCAGTCCCTGCAAGCAGGACAACAGAGCTCAGAGCCATGTGTGGCCTCCAGGGACCCTGAAGAGCTCACTGGTCAGGGTTACAGGCTAGGGGCCAGTTGTGCAAAACAAGTCATATCTCCAAAATCTAGGGAATGGGTTGTGGTAATGAGGTCATGTGGATCAGCACAGCGCTGATACAGGGAACTCTAATATAGCCAACCCCGGCAGCACCTCATCTAGAGTCAACCAGCAGTCCTGAGCATCCGTGCTGGGCAGAACAGTGAGGGCAAGGAGCCTACCACCCAGCTCTGTCCCAATATCCACATCTATCCACCACTTCCCCCTAGCACTTATCCTGACAGCTTGGTCTCACATTGCAGAACAGTCCCTTCCTAAACCATGAAGGAGACGCCTCTCTGAAACTGTCAAGCAATGCTGTCGGGGGTCCTGATCAGAGGAAAGGCTTGCACACCAACAGGGGCGGGATCTAGTATCAGAACACAGGGGCTGAGTGTAGAACAAAGGATGTGGGCTCACCTCCTTCAGGACTTTGATTCAACAGCCTGCAGGACAGGACAGCATGAGATGGAGATAGGAGAGTAAGTGTCAGACCCCACCATGGAGCCCTCACCCAGCCACTGTGGCCAGAGGAAAAACTGGCCCAACTGAGTCCTCTTGACCCTCTGGCACAGCCCATGCTGGCTCCAGTCAGTGTGATCAGGCACACTGCTTAGCTGCTCGCAGATACCAGGCCAGTGTTCACTTACACCCTTCCCAGTGTGATGGGAAGGAATGTGAAGGAGCCCCCATCCACCCTGCAAGCCCAACACAGTCCCAGCTTACTTTAGGGACTCACCGATTTCAGTGTGCTCACACAGGTTACTGTGAACAAAAGCCGAGTGATAATACAAGGAAGGGACAGGGCAGGCCCAGGTCTTTGCCCATCCCTGGGAGGCCCTGACCCCAGTGAAGCCTACTCACAGTCGTGCTTGAGAATGTGTATATCTGTTGCCGAAAATCCATACTCCAAGGCTTTCTTCTGGAACTTGCTCAGGGCTTCCTCATTGTGGTCCAGGCTCCGGCCTGCAGGTGGTCATGTGTCTGGGTTTCTATAATTATAGACATCCTCCCTCCCTGATGTAGCCCTGGGATTATCTCCTATCCCCACCCCAGACAACGAGATGAGGCATAAAAGGGGTGACACCCCACCCCCAGATGAGTCTAGGCTGGGCTTACTGTACAGTTTCATGGCCCGGTAGACTGCATCAGCCACTGGAAAAGTGATATCCATGATGGCATAAGTCTTGTAATCAGTGGCCACAACAACAACTTCTTTGGTTCCTGGGAATGGAGCAAAATTGTAGACACCCTTCTCACCTGCTTGGCCAGGGCTCTCAGTTTCCAGCTGTGCTTCTGCCTGGCACATAGGCACACACAGACATGTGGCCACAACACACTGACAAAGTCTAAAATGGGTCTTGAGAGTCTGAGGGACTCTCTAAAGAGCAGGGCTGGAATCCCCACAGACCCAGATAAAGGAATGCTGAATCACACTTGGGGTTTCAAAGAGAAGGCTGCCAAAGCCATGGCAGAGACAGGATAACACAGTGGCTGCAGGGCCGCCCACCCAGTCTCCTGACATCTGGGCATGGTCTTCTTGCACTGAGAGCTTCAGTCAGGATACGCCAAAAAACACCCCCAGTGGGGCAGGGTCCTCCCCATCCAGAGCAGTGGTAGGTTCACTGAGAGTGAACCAAAGACCCCACGTAGGGCACCACACCCACCAAACCTGGGACAGCATCCTTGCCTGCTACTCTGGTGACCTTGAACTTCCCCGGCTGGTCTGCCTGAGCAGCCCCGACTTTCTCCAGCACACAGCGGTCCTCACTACAAAGACAAGTAAGGCAGGCCAGCCTGTAATCTCAGCACTGGGAGCTGACGGGCACTGGGCCAAAAGGACTACAGTTTGAAGCCAAGTTGGGCTACATACATAAGTCATAGCAGCTACACAAAGTGGGGAGAAGTGTGTCCCTCGGTAGCAGAGAGTAGGCCTCTGAAGTCTGTTTGTTCCTGTACCTCAGACTGTGTTCTTCAGATGCAAGTGTAACACTGTTCCTCAGAGACTATCCCTAAGATATGTGTATAGCCCTGGGCAGCCTGGGCTATACAATCAGACAGGTGTGGTGGGGAGGCAGTCGGGAAGATTAAAGGAAGAAAGAAAGGAGACTTCCAGCTGTCTCCCTACCAGGCCTTACACTATATTCGACCCAGGACTCCAGAAACCAGCCAGATGCAGGTGTCCTAATGTCTGCTGAGCCTATGACCCCAGAGAACAGGACCCCTACCCAGTGGCTACCCAGTGACATGGAGGCTGGAGTAACAAGAGGAGCTGGCTGTGGAAACGTATCCCCAATGAGGAACCACTTACCTGTGCTCACACACTCACAGAGGATCAAGAGACACACCCTGAGCATCAGGAATGTATAACATCTGAGCAATACAGTTTCACACTTGTGTCTAAGGTACAGGAATACACACACCTAAGCCACTCTCTGCCACGGAGGGACATGGTCTGAGAAAGACATCCAGGGATGTGAAAACATGCATTTGAGGGACAAACTACCTGAAGTAAAGGGACACACACTTGGGAGAGAGCCATTGAGGGACACACTTAGTGGTACAGGGACATACATATTGAGGGCACACTGAGGAGCAAACACATGTGTGAGGTACACAGTCCTTGGAGGACAGTGATACACACATCTGAAGAAAATATTTGGATGAAGAGACATTCGAATGTCTAAGAGTTTTCTAAGAATCAGTGACACACTCTGACAGACACATTTGTCTTGTGGGACACACATTAAGGTGAAAGGACCCACAGCTGAGGTTACGTTCTGCAAAGTGCGGGTACATATATATGAGGACACACTGCACACATGGCTGACGGAGACAGACTCTGAGGAGCAGAGGCACAACACTGAGAATCTGTGATGAAATGACACACTTTAAAGGGACACTGAGAACAGCGACATGCACATGTCTTTGTGGAAGTGATCTGGTTTGCGTGTGCAGCTGGAAGGTCTCCACTGGTCAGTGGATAAACACACAGACTTTGACACTGCTGGATTGAGTGCCGAGATGAAGAGATGACTCAGATCAGCCTTGCCTCACTTCTCAGGCCTTGACATTGGTCAGTCAGACGTTGTTGTGTCTCATAACCCTAGAGCTAGGAAATTGGACCTGAAAGCTGTCTGGTTAGTTACTTGCTTTGCTCGGAGTCCAGGGTGGTAGTCTGGAGGTCACGATCACCGTCGTAGGTCACATCCCTAAACTGTCTTGGTAGACCATGGGACACCTAGGATGCCAAAGACATCTGGTCTCTTCTGAAACAGTTGCCTCCTCATCTCCTCTACAGCTGAGGCTAAGGCATAGACCGAGGTAGACATACCTTTGTGGCCACAGACAAGGCCTTAACTCACTTGTAATAGGTGGTGGTCAGGGCCAGAAGGTTCTCCTCCAGATGAACCATCATGGCTCCCATCTTCTCTTCCTTGTGCGCTGAGGCATGTGTACCCATCTTGGAGGCAAAGGCAATCTCGTACCAGAATCCTGAAAACTGGGGGAGAGGGATAGAAAAAGGACTGCCCCGGTGCACCATCAGCCAGGATCTGGGACCCTGAGAGCCACTCTGTGTCCCTCCCTTCTAAGGGATACGACAGTCTGGAAAGCTCTAGGAGTAAAGGGTACCCCTTATGTAGAGTCTTGAAGGCTGGTTCTGGGCAGGGCGGGATCCCCACGGGAAAGCACTGAATCTGGCTCATTGTGACTGTGACTACCTTGCTTAAGTCGAAGTTCGTCAGCACTTCATCCTGGGTGCCAGCTGCCAGCCCCACACATAGTCCCAGCAGGGTGAAGAGCATGATGCTGTCCATATGCCTAGCAGTTGACCACCTGGGTTCAGCTCCCCAACCACAGGAAGCCAGACTTTGGCTCAGAGTCCCTGAACTTTATATCCTTCCCTGTGGGTGCTTGGAACAGGCATGGAAGGTTCTCATTAGGTGGGTTGGAAGCACACTGTAAACTGTGCAGGTTTCTCACCCACTTGTGGGATAGCAGAGCCTCAGGGGACCATCTCCAGGGGGCACAGATCTTGCCTCTGGGTGTCCACTCATGTATGCATCTACCCACTCAACAACCGAGCTGACGCTTTCCAGATGTGTGTGGGTGACAGAGCAGGCTCCGCCAAGGCCCCTTGGCAAGCAGAAGACCTGATAGGGGCGCAATGCCACCAGCTGTGACCCAGGCATCAGAGGCCTGAAGGTGGCGGGGGCAGGACTGAGGACACTGGAGCCATGCATGGTTGAATCTGTGCAGCCTTATGTTCAGCGGGCTGAGAATCTTAAGGAGTGGGCTAGAACATTGTGGTCCCTCCAGCTCTATGACCGTCCTACTGAGTCCTTTGAAGAAGCCACTGCAGTCAGCCGAGGGCAGGTGAGCAGCCAAAATCTGAGGCCAGCACTGCTGCCCTGGCATTTGGCTTTATGGGTAAAGACCACAATCGTCAGCTTCTACGTGACAAGCTGGGCATAAAGGGCCAGGCCACCTGTGTAGGCCTCACAACAAAGAGACAGCCCCATGTGACATAACCCCCTAGGGATAGCCCAGGCCCTGACCCTGCATAGCACAGACAAATTATAAGGAGTGGGAGAGAGAAGACAGGGAAGAGACAGGGAGAAGAGTCAAGGAATATAAAAATGATGCAGGGCTCAGAGCCCTGCAGGAAGAGACAGCTTCCTGCACACAGAGGCAAGGGACAGTTGGGTCTCCTGGTAGCCTAGCTAGTAGACTCTTTCTTCCTGACAAAAGTGGCAAGCCAGTGTTACCACCATACCTCTTGAAAATCAGTCACCGGCTATTCTGAGAAAGCCCAGATAAAGTTAGGCAACCACTGGGGCTGTGCCCAGGCCCCTTTTCATCTCATCCAGCCCCAGATTAGCATCCAGGCTTCCCATCCTCCCTGACCTCTCCAAGCTCAAAAGAATGCTGTGCCTGTTCAGAACTGATGAGCTGTCCTGATGCTAATATTCCTGTGCTAGAATTTGTAAGTGATCACTGACATTCAACGAAGTAAGCTCAAGGAACCTCCAGCAGCAGGAATTTTGGGTGGTGCTGTATGCCCACCCCTATGGATCTCCATCCTAAGAAAATCTCTGTGATGAAAAGAATGTTCAGGTGAAATAGAAAGTATTTTTCCTGTCTTTAGGATCCTGCTGACTGCATGCTGCCACACCCATCCTCCAAGACACAGAGTGGCCACTGCAACACCTTTGCCACCTTCAGAATGTAGCCGCAGATACCAGGGACTGGCTTTGGGGAAAAGGCCCTGGTATGGATTCTTTTCAGTCCTTTGAATATCACCTTCACACATCTGTTCAGTCGGGACAAGATATCTCAGGGGGATGTGTCAAAAGAGAAAGGTGCAAACCGGGTGTGGTGGCCCACACCTTTAATCCCAGCACTCAGAGAGCAGAGGCAGGAGAAGCCTGTGAGTTCAAGGCCAGCCTGGTCTACAGAGAGTCCAGGACAGCCAAGGCTACCTTTCTGGGGTGGAGTGGGGGTGGTGGTTACAGAAATAGGCAGCCAACAAAGTGGGCAGTGGGAGGGTTAGGAGCTCCATCACAGCCAGAGCCATGCATTTCTGTACATCTTTACTGGAGGCTGTGCCTGCTGCATGGTCCTGACCATGAGGCAGACTTCTTTAAAAGTGTCTCTCCACTACTCCTCTGTGCAACTGACCACAAAGCTCCAGACCTGCTCTTATTTTTGCTTGTAGATTCCTGGGGTGCCACCAGCATTCATGAGCAGGATGGACACTGTTGCAGCATGAGAAGGTGGCTGTGGGACCCACTTCCCGGGGCAGCATGAGTGGAGCAGGATCTTGTCACGTGAGAGTCCAGGACTGGCTGCCCTGTGTGCAAGGCACACTCACAGCACTCACGGAAAATGCAGACACGTTTTCTCCGCCTGGGCCACATTCCTGCCACCCCTTTCCCTGCCCCCAGGAAAGATTCTGGGCAGCATTTGGCAGCAGGGTTTATTTGGAGCAAGTGCAGGAGGTCCTTCAGGCAGGAGCAGGAGAGGCCAGGTAGGTGGGGCTGCAGTCGCAGGCCTGGGCAGAAGCTACTCAGACCAGTCCCTGTAGGCAGAACAGCAGAGCTCAGTGTCACATGTGGTCTTCAGGGACCCTGCAGCACTGGTCAAGCATCACAAGCTAGATACCTGGTGCCTTCCCCAAATGCCTGGCTTTGGCAAAGCACTGGTTCCCTGAGCGAAATGGGTCTCTATCTACAAAATGGGTCTGGAGCCTGGGCTGTGACAGTGAGGTTATATAGTCTATGGGTTAGCATAGTGCTAGACACAGGAAACCCCAAGATATTCAAGAGCTGAGCTCCCCATCCCACCAGCAGGACATGAAGAGGCAGAGCTGGCTCAGAACCCTGCACAGCTTTGCTAGACAGACAGTACAAACAAGGGACCTCTCTTCCCCAACCTAGTGCTGTCCCACACCCAAGGGCCCAGCATGGCAGCTTGGGGTCACATAGCAGACTGCTCTTTCCAAACTACACAGCAGATGCATCTGAAGCTGCCAAGCAGGGCTGTTGGTTGTCCTGATTAGCAGAAGGATGGATGACCCCCCTCCAGGATCAGGATCTAGTAGTACCAGCAGGAACTTCATGAGAGTTGGGCTACAATGTAGACCAAGGGCAGTGGACTCACCTCCTTCAACAGCTCAGCACACCTCCCTGCAGGAGGGGACAGCATTGGTACAGTCAGGAGGGCATTAGACCCCATCAGAGGGGCCTGGTCCAGCGTCCTCCCCAAGGTGCCGTGCTCACCGTGTCGGGCCAGCATGTAAAGGCCCTGTCCTGCTGTCATTTCCCGGAACCTCCAGAAGCCTGGCTCATCTTCCTTCTCAAGGCTCCGAGCTGTGGGGGCACAGCAGAGTTGGGCTGGCAGCCCGAAGGGAGGCAGCCACAGGGCAGAAACCCATCCCAGGCTGAACTTACTGAAGTACTTGAGGACATGGAAGTTTCTACCCTGCCAGAGCAGGGACAGCTTTAGGATGGTGTAGCGCTCATAGTCTGTGTCCAGCACGTAGATCTCCCTGTGGCCTTCGGGAGTTAGGGAGAGTTAGGGAGCCTTGCTCAGACCTGAACACTTGAGGGGGCTGACCTTGAAGGCTGAATCTGCAGAACCTAACGCCTTTCTGTTTCTGCCTAGTACTGGGACCTGCCTGTGACATCTGGGAAGACAACTTCCAAAGGTCAACTTGGTACACTAGTAGAGATGAGGAGCCTGGGGTCCAGGGCCTGAGAATCCCAGGAAGGGCACAGACAGCCTCGAGGCCAGAGGGAGATATCCAGGCTCAGCAACTTTAGCAATAAGGCAGCAGCACTTACCAGGAAAAGCAAACTCCCCTACAGTGTCTCTTTTTGACCCCACTGATGTCTCTGTCGTACAGCTTCCTGAGCTGAAAAGCAGCACACTGTTAAGAGCCTGCCAGCCTGCATTCCACCTTCTGCCACATTCTTGAGTAGTGCATACCTTCATCAAGGATGCAGTCAAACTGGGGAGCACGCTGGAATCTGGGGCCATGGGGAAGGGGCCGTGCGTGGGGCAGGGCTGCTCCAGCTTCTCACCTTCAAAGGGCCAGCCAGCTACTACCACCCACACTTTCTTATAAAGCAACAGGGCTTTGTTTGTTTTTGTTTTCTGAGGCAAGGTTTCTCTGTGTAGCCTTGACTGTCCTGGACTCAGTTTGTAGACCAGACTGGTCTCAAACTCAGAGATCCATCTGCCTCTGCCTCCCTGAGTGCTGAGAATACAGGCAAGCACCTCTGTGCCTGGCTGCAATAGGGCTTTAGCTAAAGCCCTTACTTATATTTTGGCAGAAAGGTAGATCTAGGAGCCTGAGACCTTGCTTTCTCTGGGGTTTGAGGGCCAAAACAGGTGGACATGGAGAAGGCTAGTCCACACACTGATGATCTCACCAATGGCAGAGGTATAGTGTGTTCAACTACACATAGGGCTCTCCCTGCCCATCAGGCCACATTCCCAGTGACCCAGGCCTCTCACCTGTTGTATACAGCCTTCACAGTGAGGTTCCTCCCACGGAAGGTGAGGAACAAACCCTCTACTCTCCTTTGAGCCTTCAGCACCAGGTTTTGGTCAGAAGCCACAGCCACTTCCTTCCAGAATCCTGCGATCTAGAGAACAGAACTAGAGGTATCCCTGGCTGTGTGTGGCCAAGCCAAACTGTGTCTCCAGCTGCTGCTTCTGATGGGCACTCCAGGGACACTCAGGCAGAAGAGGGTGAGCTCCGAGAGGCAACCCATAGTGAGGAGTCTGGGAAGCCATTGTCGACAGCTGAGTTTTCCTTCCCAGGCGGCCTTTCAGGACACTTTCAGAAATATTCCTTCCAGAAGATGCTGGCACAAGGCTTACCTCTGGTCTGCCAGGAGACCTTTCCAGCTGGTGTGTGTGGAGCAAGCATCGAAGCCTACAGCCTGCACACTGAATGAAGCATGGTTCTACCAACCTCAACCTCCCTGGGGTCATGCTCTCCTATAGCACCGCTATTGCCAGATCATAAGACATCACCTGAAACTTGTAGAAACTGGTTATTGTTACAAAAGGAAAGAATTTGTGTCTGCAAAGCCTGAGCCCTCTGCTTACAATGTGAGCCTGGCAGCCTCAGAAAGGATGTGGGGGGATTGAAGGAGAAATCCTCTTCTGGTTCCACAGTACACACCGGCAGGCTTATAGTAACCCTATGAACCAGGAAGCAAAAAGGAACCTCAAATCTGCAAATCGCCAAGGACCCAGAGGTGACCGGCCTGAGGACAGTAGTACCTGTCCACACAGGGGGCACATG